ATCTTTGATTCAGAAGTGGCTGTTCATATCTTTTGGCCATTACTTATAGTTAATTGTTGCATTACTTTCCTTTCTATTACTGTAACATACAACTGAGACCATCTACTTACATATAAAAAGGTTTGTTTTGATTCATAATGGTGAAGATTTCAGTTGGCCCTGTTAATTTGGGGCTTGTCTCCAAGTAGCACATCATAGTGTGTGTGGCAGAGCAAAGTCACTTACCTCATGGTGGGAAAGCAATGAATGGGCGCTGGAGTCCCCTGTCACCTTTGAGGGCATGTTTCTAATGACCCGAGCCCTTCCTATTAGGCCGTGCCTTTTGAAGTTTCCTTCATCTCCTGATGTTACCTCACTGGGGTCCAAACCTCTTAACACATGGGGTTTTGGGGGAAATATTGGCTATTATTTCTTCCATTTCTCCCCTTGCCTCATGTTTTTCTCTTTCCTACTGGGACTCCCCTTGTATGCTTATTATCTTGATTGATGTTGTCTCACAGGTCATCAAATGTTCAGTTTCAAAATCCTTTTTTCCCCTCTCTGCTTCAATTTAGTGTCTATTGACCCATCTTCAAATTCCCTCATTTTTCCTTTCACATTGTCCAAACTAATGTTAAATGTATACAGTGAATCATTTCACTTCCTAAATTGTGTTTTTCAGTTCTGTAATTTCCCTTTATCTCTCTGTGAAGCCTCTTTTTCTCCATTAAGCTTTCCATATTGAAATACCCATCTTTGCCTTTTAATTCTGGAACTTACTTGTCGTGGCTATTTTAAAATCTTTGCTATTGCTCACGTCTGTGGCATTTCTGTTTCTGTTTCTACTGACTGTATTCTCCCAGCTATAGGTCATATTTTCTCACTACTTTCTATGTCTAGTAATTTTTTATTGGATGCTAGGCATTATGAATGCTGTGATGTTGAGTTTGGATTATGGTGCTTCCATTTTGAATGTTGACTGTTACTTTAGCAAACATTTGATTTATTAATTGTTTAGATTTGTTTGTAAACTGTGCTAATATGGGTCAAGAATGACCTTTATAGTAGCCCTTTGGTAGTGTTATTTCTAAGGATTCATTTTTCTGGGGTTTCTGCTGGATGCTCAGAGTGTTCAGTTATAGTAGCTAAGCAGTGATTAGCCACATCCAAAATGTAAACTCAAGAAGCCCTATATAGCTTTAGTATCTATTCTTTAGTGTCTATTCTTTCCAGGCCACATGCATAATTTTGTATTTGGCCAAAGACTGAAGGTGACTCATATGCTGATTTCTGTGTTACCTACTCTGTCCAAAGCCTTTCTACTTTGATGCCATTCTACACAAATTCAAGCGAGCTTTGTTGACTCCACCCTGTGAGACCACTGCTACCTTTTTGGATCTACCTTGTGCTGTCCTATGGAACAAATGTGTCCCTAGCAGAAAGCTACATTGAATGTACAGCTTACCTTGTGTGTTTGTGTCCTTTTCTCAAGATTCACTGACCACATTTTTGTAAATCTTTACAGGCACTAAGCAAATCTTTTGGCACATATGAGGTGCTTAGTAAGGATTTTTTTAACAGGAGAAGGGTGTGATGAATTTGGCTTACTTAAGTTCTACTTCTGGAAATACCCACGAAGCTATTCAAATGACCTATCCAGAGAATAAATCGCCATCTCCTCTGCTGATACCTAGCTTCCTCTCATGGGGAACCAATTTTCTCTTTAGAAGCTAACAAGCAGTTTTTTGTGCATTTGAATGACTCAGTGTATAAAGCTTTGAGCATGTAGAGAATGATCAAAATTGCATTCATCCACAGTTAAGATGCACACTGTTCTCTGGGGGATTTGATATACTTTTCCAAATCAGCTAAATTCTCTCTAGAATTATTGGTTGGGAGGGGAGGCTGTGAACAACTTAGCAAAAATCATTATTCAGAATGGATCCTGGAAGCCCTGCGCTGAGATTTTCATGTAACCAAGAAAACAGCTTCTCAGCTACTGAAAACAGAGGGGGAAGGCAGCTCCAGGGAGTTCCCCCAACCCCAGAGATGAAGGCTCCAAGTTGGGTGAAAGAACCCTCAAAGAGTATCTCCTGGCTCCTGTATTCACCCTAAACAGGCTGCTTGGCCTTATATCCCTGGAGCCCATTTTGTGGAACCGTGAATGAAATGGAAGCCAGGCCATTTTCTTTTGTTTCTGTCTTGACAAAGAAAAGGTTACATTCAGCCTGCTTTCAAGATTATGGTTGGATTTTTTACACTTTGCCATTATCTATTGACTATCTGTCTCTCTCCCCGCTCCCCTCCCCCTCTCCCTCTCCTCTCCCCCTCTCTTCTATGAAAGATGTGTCATTGACTTTGTAGCCCAATAACCCCATTCTAGTCTCAGAGACACTGAGCGGGTGATTGAGCTTGGAGTTCCCCATAGTGTAGCCAGTGGAACTAAATCTCCGAGTATGGTTTCCTCTTTATCCACAAACACTTTTCTCCCCCATGCCCACATTTTGGTTCAAAAGCACAAGACAAACAAGAAATGGAAAAGACTAAATATGTGAGAGTTTTAATTTTCCTCTGGGAAAAAGTAGACAACAATTTAGGGTTTTCTTCCAAGTAAACAAACTGTTTTCCATATGTCTCCAAGAGAAAACTGCTTCTCTGTTATTCTCCATGTTCCGCCGATAATTCCAGTGGGGAGATCCTGCCGGAAAATGTGTGTTTGACTCATAGAAGAGTCTCTACGCTCTAGTAATTGGGCTTGGGGAGCCAACTCCAACTCTGTGCCTGAGAGGGAGCCAGAGAATGTGGAGGAGCCAAGGTTTGCTTTTGGCGAGCTACAAGGGTTGCTAAGCGGGTCCCATTGAGGCCTGGCCTTGGGGGCTGAGGCAGCTGCTGCTCCTTATTCCCACTCACAGCACTTGCTCCTCTCCGAGGGACAGGAGTGGAGGATGTGCACTCTGCAGAAAGATGATCACAGCTAACTTGTGCAGTGTTACTTCCTGGATTTGGACTCTTGGGCATCCATAGCCTCACTCTTAACCCTTAGAGAGGGCCCAGACCATTCCTTCATAGCCTAGCTAAGACCTCAAAGGCTTTGGAACCTGGCTTTGTCATTTCCCTCCTTCACTGCCTCTAATGGTTGTTCCATTGCTTTCACAGTGAAGTCTATTTTCCTCAGATTTTCTCACAAGCTAAGCTCTTAGTAACCTGACCTGGTTATATTTTACCTCTCCCATTGCTCCTGCAATTCTACCTCCCCACCTACCCCGCTCTTTATCCTGCCACCTGCTCTCCTCCAGCATACGGGGATGTCCATAGCTCCCTGAAGGCACTGAGTCTCCCTCATCTGGAATGTTTTTATTGGATGCTAGGCATTATGAATGCTGTGATGTTGAGTTTGGATTATGGTGCTTCCATTTTGAATGTTGACTATTACTTTAGCAAACATTTGATTTATTAATTGTTTGGATTTGTTTGTAAACTGTGCATGGAACAACATGCCCATGCTCCACTTGGCTGACTCCTACTTATGCTTCAAATCCAAGAACAAGGCTACTTCATGGAGAAAGCTTTCCTTCCAGGCTGGGTTTGGCATCCTCCTCTTTACTGCCTTAGCTCGCTGTGCTGACTGACTGCATCACATTTATTCACACAGGAGTATTTGTGAGTAAGTCCTGGGAAAGTAGCAGATGGAAAAAGAAGTGAACTAAAGACTACCTTATCCCCTCCTATCCCAACTTCCTCCAAATCTCTCTGTGTCTCCACTGGATAGCCAGCTCCTTAAGAGCTCAGAGTGGCACCAGGTGTGGTGGCACACACCAATAATACCAGGAATCTGGAAGGCTGAGGCAGGAGGGTCTCAAGTTTGAGACAAGCCTATGCAACTTAGCAACTTAGTGAGGTCCTGCCTCAAAATTTTAAAAAAATGCTGTGTGTAGTGGGGAGGATGGGGGTGTAGCTCAGTGTAAAGGCATCCAGATCAATCCCCAGTACTTAAATGAAGTACTGTATTAATCTCCTCTTTACTCTAAATGCCCAACGTAAGACCCAGCAGACAGGCATTCAGTGAGAGTTTGCAGTAGGAGCCATAACTGTTTTCCATTGCATTCCTGGTCCTATTTTCAACGATGTCAGGACCTGAAATTTCACATTTCTTTCCAGGAGGGGTCAACTGTTGAATGAAAGTGGTAAGACAAAAACCCTGGCTCATTCGGCAGTCTCCCCTAATCTGCCACGTATCTTTCATTATCGAAGCAATGCTGTAGGGATCTTAACACATGTCCTCAAATCCTTTGATGTTAGGCCCTCAAAAAAATGTCTAGTTCTCCTCCTTTTGAGCACGAATGGATCTTATGATCTGGCTCCAAGAGAGTAGGATGCTGCGGAACCGGTGACGGATTAATTGGGGAGCAAGGTTACGGAAGATAAAGATTCTGCAGTTCCCAGCTCAACTTTCCATCTTGCTGAGCGGGAAGGCCATCCCACCAGCTCCAGAGAGACTTGCAGGGGCAAAACCAGGCTTCCTGCTAGAGATCCACGCGTGACTGTCTAGGACACAGCTCCATTTGCCCCAGATGCCTGCAGCCCCAACCAAAACCTTGGCTTCTGACTCCAAAGAGAGCCCTAGCCGCAGCCACCCAGCTGAGCTGGTCCCGGACTCCAGGGCCACAGAAATCTACAGAGAGTAAATATTTGTTTAAACTACTAAGTTTTGAAGGTAATTTATAATACCACAGTAGATAATCATTATAATTTGTCTGTGCACTTGGATTTATGGAGGGAAAGAAGGGAGCAAGCATTCCAAAGATGAAAGAGGGCTTGTCTCAATAATCAGAAAGGTAGTGCTAACGACTGGGTGTTTATGCCCCGAAATGCACAAATTTAAATCTAATCCGCACTGTGTTGGTGTTAGGCGGTGGAGACTGGAAAGGGATTAGTCAGGGTTAGATGTTAGGTCATTAGGTGGAGCCCTCGAGAATGGAGTTAGTGTCCTTATAAAAGGAACCACTGGGAGCTCCTTAGCCTTCTTCCTGCCATGTGAAGATACAAGAAGACGTGGGCATCTGCAGCCTAAAAGAGAGCTCTCATCAATCTGACCACACTGGCACCCTTATCTTGGACTTGCCGCCTTCTAAACCGTGAGACAGAAATTTCTCTTGTTCATAAGCCAACCAGTCTATGGCACTTTGTTACAGCAGCATAAACTAAGATGGGTAGTTACTTTTATTTATTTTTTTAACCTGATAGGAGACTCAGCCTATTTTGGGATCCTGCCTTTCCAGCCTTCTCTATAACCTTCCTGTGGCCCCAAATGAGTTTTGGACAGAAGTGGCATGCAGTTGATCCTTCACGTTTCTTGAAAACAATCTGTATGCTTAACTGTTCTGAAGAGCCTTGCATATATGAACCCATGTAACCCTCACACTACACTGCAAGATACTGTTATTGCTCCTGCTTTATAAATAAAGAATCGGAGGCACTGAGCAGTTAAGTAACTTGCCGGGTATATTTTTCATACTTGAAAAAAGGGCCTTCACATAAACAAAGGTTTATTATAGGACATAATTTTAACAGATCCTTTAATATTATTTTTTTTCAATGCACAACACAAACCAGCAAGGAATAGATCAAAACCTCCTCTTTGTGAGGTAACAGAAACGAGCTCCAGGGAGGTGAAATGGTCAAAGGTGAAATTCCTGTGCTGTGATCACACAGGAAGTGGCAGGGCAGGTTCACAGTCTAGTTCTGCTGCCACCAAGCTCTTCTTTCCACAGCGTTCAGCTCCCTGCCTATTCCCACCACTCTTTCCCTGCTCTAGGCTTCAGATCTGTGTTTGGCAAATTCAGAAAAATCACCCAGGTGCTGGACAGCTGCCTAACTGAAGAATGAGGCAACAGCCCTGAATTCACACATCCCCAGGCACCTCTCGGCAGCAGTTACCCACACCCAGCCCTGTGTCACTGCACTTTCCTGGCAGACGTGGGGGAGAGAGTGAGTGAAGCACAGAAAAAGGGCAGGATAAATGGGATCTAGTAAAACCCAGCCTATTTGGCTTGGAGGCAGGAGCTCAGTAAATTCAGAAGCACCTGTGTCTGTGACATTCCTGAGGCCAAAGCTGCCTCTGGGCTTGGCTCTGCTTCCTGGGATGCAGCAGGAATTCAGATGCAGCAAGATGGAAGAAACATCTCTCCTGGCTGGCGAGAGAGGAAAGACGCCTAGAAAAGTTGTGCAAGCCCAGCCTCAAGACAAATTCAGAAATGAGCGCTTTGGCTGTGAGCCTACCATCCTGCCTGACTCACTGGTGTGGGTGGAGACCTGCTTCCCTGCTCCCACAACCTGCATTCTCACATCCACCCCAATTATCCCCTTCCACGCTCTGCCTTCCTCTTCCTCAGTGTCTGAGGTACACCTTGTTTTAATGTTTTAATGTAGAAGGCACTATAACTTCCCTGTAGCTAGGAACTGTTAGCTCTTCTTGCATTTCTCCAAAGAAATGGTTTGGGATCTCTCTCTCTCTCTCTCTCTCTCTCTCTCTCTCTCTCTCTCTGGACATGAATGACTGAGCCTTGCTGTAATTCAAGGGGAAAAAGAGAGTTGTGTCGTTCAGACCTTGAGGGTATAAGGGTCACCCAGAGAGTAAGGAATACAGGCAAGTTTTACACCAGTAATTCCAATTCACTGGGTGCCCCCAAAGATTTGCATTTATAAGCCAGCTGCTGCACACTTAAAGAAGCATACATGCATATACTTCCTAGCTTTTTTTGTTGAGAGGGCCTGGAAACAATGATACCCTGCTGGCAATAAGTACACTTAGGGCCAAGACATTGTTTTCTAACATCACCCAATAATAATAACTGGGATCCTTAGAAAAACAGTTGATTTCAAGGCATGGACAAGAAAAATACAAGATGAATCTGGAGCATCTTGTGGGACTAGAAAATAAGGAAGTACCCAGAGAAGGACAGATGTTGTTCATAGGAATCAACCTGAAAGGGTACGCAATGGTTAAATCTGGAACAATCTGGGCAACAAAAATAGGAAAGAAGTATATTATGAACTGTAGAATAAAATAAATGTATTCATGAGTTGATATTGCTATAATTGAAGAAATAAATGAGGCAAAAGAACAGCACTTTATCACAGCAGAATTCCAATTAATACATGTGGGAAGAGTTATAGACATAGATAATCATCATTTGGCAAACAACAGAGTAATAATTTTTGTAGGCAAGAATCAATAAAGGATGCTCAAATTAGGGATAAAAGTATAATGAGAAATAGGATATTTGTAGGGTCTCAAAGAATCTCCCTACAGGATACTTATTAGTTACAAAGGAAAAATAGAACTTTACAGTGGAGAAATTCTAGCACACACCACCTTAATCAAAGGATCAAAGTTAACCTAACCAGTAATAATACTGATATTACATACATTATATGACATGCAGAGAAGACCAAAATATCACAGAAATAGTATTCTAGTCAAAACAGTAACAACAGCAACACAAACATAACCTCAATCAATCATAAAGAAAGCCTGACACTATCAAGTGTTGGCGAGGATATGGAGCAACTAGAATTCTCGTAGATTGCTGATGAGACTGCAAGATGGTAAAACCACTTTGAGAAAAATGGTTTGGCAACTACTTATGTATAAAGTTAAACATACCCTTGGTCATATCACCTAGCAATTCTGTGCCTAGGTATCTACCCAAGATGAATGAAAGCTTGTGTCCACACAAAAATTGCATACCCATTGCTATAGCAGCTTTATTTGTATTTGCCCAAACTGGAAACAATTTAAATATCCAAACACTAGTACATGAATGCACAAATTATGGTACATCTGTATAGTAGAAAACTACTTCTTAATAAAAAGAAGCTACTGATATAACAAAATGAATGAATTTCAAGTGAATTATTCTAAGTGAAAGAAGACAGAATCAAAAAGGTCTGTACTGTGTGATTCTGTTTATATGGCACTTCTAAACAAAAAGAAAACTAGAGTGATGAAAAACAGATAAGCAGTTTCCAGGAGGTGGGTTAGGGGAAGAGATTGACTACAAAGGGCCATGAAGAAAATTTTATGGGACAAGAGGACTGGTCCATATGTTGACTGTGGAAGTAGTTACATAACTGCAAATGTTTGTCAAAACTCAGAGCTATACATTAAAAAGAATGAACTGACTTTAAAAAAACCCAATAAACCAAAACTTCTAGAATGGTATTGATAATTATGAAAAAATATCAGAAACCTCTGACAGATATCTTATAAAATAAATGAATGATAAAACAATGATGATATGAATATATATTCATGTATTTATTTATGTATATCTTAATATATATATATTCATATTTATTCTTATCTATATATCAGTAAAAGACATACTGCCATTAATCTCCCTCAGAGTAACCCCCTCACTTGAGAAACATATTTATCCCATCATTCTTGCCACTTTCTGCAGCAGTTCTGGAAGTCCTCTTTCATGAGTGTCTTTATGAAGTTTGATCAAAAATGTAGTGACTGCTGCTGCCAAGCACCATCCAAAAGAAAGTCAGATTATCCACCTTACTCACCAGACCTGACAATTTGTGACTTCTGACTCTTCCCCAAAGTCAAAATGACCATGTTGGGAATGAAACGTAAGTGTTTTGAATCAAGTTTTTTGAGGGGAATTAATGACAATGTGTCTTTTGCTATAATACATTTCCCATTAAAATTTAAAATTAACCATATTTTCAATCACTCCTTGTAACTCTTCAAAAATGTCAAGGTCATAAAAGACAAAGACAGATTGAGGAAATGTCCTTGAATGAAAGAGACCTTGAATACGTGACAATTTGAAGTAATGTAGGAATTCTAGTTGGATTCTGAACTATAAAAAGACATTATTGTACAAATGTCAAGATAAGATTAAGGTCTGTAGATTAGTTAATATTGTGAATATATTAATTTTTGGGTTTCAATCATTGTACTGTGGTTCTATAATATGTTATTATTAGATCCATATGAAGGTTATGCAGAAAATCATATTATTTTTGTCAGTCTAAAGCTTTTGTAAGTCTAAAATTATTGCAAATTTCCTATTTATTAAAACATATTATGACAGTGTAAAAAGGCAATCTGCAGTGAGAGACAGTATTTGCAATACATGTATCCAACAAAAGCTCATTTCCATAATATGTAAAGAAGTTTTACAAATTAATAAAAAATATATATGTATGTGTATCACTCAAAAAAAAAGACAAAAACTGCTCAAGGCACTTCAGAAACAAGGATATCTGAATGTCAATAAACATAAAAAGTATGCAATTTCATTAGTCACCAGGATTATGCAAAACAAAACCACAATGAGATAGTGCTATATACTTCACAGAACTTCTATAATTAAAAGCCAATAATGCCAATACTGGCAAAGAATTGAATGAATACAGACTTTCATAAATTGTGACAATCTAAACAAGTAAACACATGTATAACATCCCCTGGCAAGTCTGCTTCTAGGTACATGTAATTAAGAAAAATGATGATGTACATTCTTCAAAAGACATGCCCAAAAGTATGATAAAAGAACTATTTGAATGGGAAAAAAGAAGAAGATGCAATATATATCATGTACAGGTACAAATTCCCTATGATGAATGTTATCATTATGTATATCTAAAATGTACCAATTAAAAAATAAATTTAAAAAAAGGCTATAGTCCCTAATGCACACAAACAAAATGGCTATCAACTTATACTGTGGTGAACTCATCCAACTGAATAGGATACAGCAGTAAAAATGAAACTTCCACCATTTGTGACTACACTATTGAACATACAAACATAGCAATGAGGCAGAATTCATCTTGATGACAGAAACCAGGATAATGATTACTTTGAAGAGGCAGGTGGTGGGGATAGGGAAGGGGGATGAGGGGACAATAATGATGTAGGTGTCTTCGCTTTCTGAAAAGTGCATTGAGCTGTAAACAGTGGTGCCTCGGTTCACAAACTTAATTCTTTCCATGATTCTGGCTGTAACCAGAATTGTGGAACAAATTAAGTTCATGAACCACCGTACCACTGTACATCTCCACATATGTTACATCTTTATGTTAGACTTATTAAAATGTTTAATTTTTAAATCTTGAAATCTGAAAAATAAACAAATATTTTTCATGAAAATATCAGAAAGTCCCTTTGTTTTGAAGAAAATAGAATTGTTCTGCATAAAACACTTCTCTGTGTGGATGAATAGAAGCAGGTAGGACAGTCCTTTTAAAATGTAGGCATAGTGTAAAATCTAAGGTTCTATATACTGAAACAGTTGGAACAACATAAGCAAATATCAAAAGTAAGCAGACAGAAAGTTAGAGGAAAAAAATCAAACATACATCAGGAGATCCAAAAGTAAACCCCCCAAAAAATAGCTTCTAAGAAATTAAATTGGAGGAATACAAATACATGTTTATAAGATAATCAAAACCCCAGGCCTGTGGTGACTTCAAGAATGTGCCTTCTCAGATTGAAACCCACAGGTTACTTTGAGGGGCAAAAATAAAGAACAAAAAAGATACACTACATAATGAAAGGGCATCTGAATGAATAGAAGATAATTCCCTTGGACACGAAATGCAATCAAGTCAAGACCCATATTTTATCTCTGCTGGAGGCAGTCTTATTTGTTAGTAAAGAGCTGGGATAATCAACCATTGTTCTCCCTGCCAAGACTGTCAAAACAAATACAAGCTTCTTTGCTTGGTGCTAAAAATGTCTGAGCCTTTGGAGAACAGCTGGGCAGAAAGCAATCTTGTTCAATTTCAGCACATTTTCCCCCAAGTATTAGCCTGTCCGAATGCAGCCCACATCAAAGCATCCCTGGCCCCCACTGCGGGGACAGATCTGTCACGAGAACACATCCTATCAAAGGCCAGCAAGCAGAACGCACAATGAAACCACTTTAAACTTGTCCAGCTCCCTGTCTAAAGGAGCAAGGACTTTGAAGCATGAAAAAGAAGCTACTCTGAACAGATAATTCCTTTGAGGTGCTTTTTATAAATATAAAAAAAATAATGTCGCTGTGCTTGCCAAATGCTGGGTATTGATAAGGTTCTGGGAGTGTTAGAAATGATTTATGATCTGATGGGTAGGAGTATCACTGTTGCCTAAGGGAGATCTCCTCAGTGTTTGCAAGCCTATTCTTTGCTATTAAGTCAGCTCTCATTAAAGTATGTCTTATCTGTGGCTTCATGATTTGTATTAATTAGTGAGTGTGTCAGGATGTTTGGAGATGCAAGTAGCTAAAACTTTAAAAATCCGCTCAATGCCTTCAACAGTAAGAACATTTCTGTTTATCAAATATGAGTCTTGGAGGTAATGCAATCCAAAGTAGATCAATCTAGTGGCTCAAATGATATTGTCCAGGACTCTAGTTCTTTCCATCTTTCTCCCCCTCCACCCTCATACTAAGGACCTTTACGGTCATAAGATCTTGGCATCACAGCCAGGCATGGAGGTGTCTAGAAGAAGAGAAATTGTTCCTGTTAGTTTCTCATTATCAGTGAGGAAAAAAATTGCAGAAGACCTCTTGGTAGGTTCTTCATCTTACATTGACCTGAATTGTGTCACATGCCTATGGCTAAGCCAAGCACTAGAAAAGCAAATGGGATCACAAGGCAAGCATTAGACTAATTTACTTCTGAACATAAGCATTGGACCCTCTTTCTATGAGTGTCAACATGGAGGAATAAACAGCCAAATAAATGTGGAATACTGCCAGCTAAGAAGAAAGAATCGGCTGTTAGGTCAGCAATCATCTATGTCTGCTACAGTTGGGATGCCGGGTAAAGAAAGATTACATTAATTTTTTGGCTTAACCATGAAATATGAAATAAAAATATTTTAGATTGGGAACCTGGCTATTGAAAATTACTCTGAAATGTACTAATTTACTTTTTCCTTATTAGGCAAGACGGGACGATACCTGTAGGTGTCTGTGCCTAATGACACTCCATTCCCTCACCCATGGAGAACTCCTTTATTCCTTTGCACGGTCACAGAGGTAAATGGCCAACAGCCAGGTGTGTATATGAGGTCCCACCTCCATGGTCAAAGATGGTTAGAACCCAAGAGTTCAGTGATCTCTCACTTGACCAATCAGCTCCCCTTCTCTGGGAATTTGGGACAGGAGCAAGATCTGGATCCATCAGTCTCCTTCTTTGATTGGGCCTAGAATTGTGGGACAGCTGTTCACCTGCCCTTTGGGATGTAAAGAAAAAGCTGGTGTTTGGGAAAGTAGAAATGAAATATATACACAGAGAGAAGTAGAAATGAGTTTTGGCTTCATGGAACACCTTGAAATCTCCTCTCACCTACTCCATCTGGATCCAAACTAGCTTGAAGTACTTCGTGGTATGTGTAACAAAAGAGTCCTAACCGGGCGTATGAGAACACATAGTCCCTTTTCAGAGGAGACGGAAGATCTTGCAGAATGTCACGGTGCTCTTGAAAAACTTGCCATTCTCAATATTCAAAACTCTGTATAGAAAACCAGAAACAGTCACACTTATCATAAATTCACCTCAGATCTTGCTACAAAAGTTGGCTTTGTTAAATTTAAATTCTTACCATCAGTTCGGTTTCTAATGCTTTAAATCTCTTCCCTAAGGGGCCAGGGATTTAGTTCAGTGGTTCCACTGCCTGCCTCAAAAGCGCAAGGTCCCGAGTTCGATCCCCGGTACAAAAATAAATAAATAAATAAATAAATCTCTTCCCTAAAAGCCATTCAACAAGACACTTACCAGTACCAAGAACAAATGACTTTGTATTATGTGGGTGGCATGTGTTGTGTTGTGTCTGGGAGGGGCAGGGAAAGGGATTAATATATATTGAGTTCAAACTGTTTGCTTGTCATTTATTGTTTATTTTAATCCTTAACACACACTGAGTTGTGATCATTATAAAACCATTTTACCAGTGAGGAAGCTGAGTCTCAGGAAAGCATATTGATTTTTATTAAGGTCACATGGCTAGAAAGCTCTTGAGGAAGATTTTAAACCCAAGTTTGGTTCTACCAGGTCTGAAGAGAACCAAAGTTGATATTTTCACTTTTTATTGTTGGTACAAAGAGGGTAAAGCCTTGGTTGGATGTTCTACTAGGTAGATTCTGACATCCTGGTGAGTAGATTTGCATAATGCAGGATATTCTCTTCCTTGGGAGACAAAAATGGGGACAGAATGACTTCCTGGCATCAGATCTGTTAAGGGTATTCCTGCATTTTCTAAATTAAGCATTGCTACATCTGGTAGGAATCAGGGATAACAATCTTTAGCACTCTATTTATAAAGGTGGAAAGAAAAAAGAGCCAGAGTGACGTGAGGGCCCCAAGATCCCACGTTGGACCTAGAAACAGATTGTGACCATCTGGCTCTGCCTGCTCAGAAGGGAGCATTCTGAACCTGCTGATTTTTCTTGACTAATTAAAGGTGATTGGAGTTTTATAGTTTGTTTTTGTTTTTGTTTTTGTTTTCTCCATCTTTCACATACTGTCTGCCGGCTGCCAATTAACAAGAAGACTGGAGAAGAACTTGTGCTGGCTGGAATCAGCTGGGATGTGGACCTGTTACAGTGCGATGAAGGAGATTCAAGCAAAGCCATTTACCTAGATGTGGTTCATCACTAGCAAAACAATCGTGCACATGGTTAAATCAAACTTTCCAAGCTCCTCAAAATTGACCTTTTACATAAAGATGCCCATCTGGAATATACAGCAAGTTACAACCAAAATCTTCACCTTTTTCTTCAGCTGTTAACTCTTCTCTACCTATTGGATGCTTTTGTTTCATTTGAATTTTTTAAAACTCCTCACAGTTGAATTACTTTCCTTTATTGCAAAAAAGTTGCATACTTATTTTAATGCATTCCAACATTACAGACGTAAAATGCAGAAAGGGAGCATTTGGATTTGAATTTTAAATACTGTCAATGGCCCTTCCGGTAAAACTTTGCCAATGTTGAGAATATCTTAAGGAATGTAAACTACAGGAAAACTCCAATTTGTCAAAATGTCCAAGGAATGGGAGATTCCAGGTTCTCTCACAATCAGAAAAGGCTTTTTTATATCAAACCTTGGTGTTGGAAATCTTATTGAAAAGTAGGAGTTCTGTTTCCTGCCTCAAGAAACAAAGTTTACTCAAAACATAATTTAATGTTAGTCTGGTAGTTGAGGGTCAGAGTGGACCTTAGGCTAAATATTCTGGATCCAATTTCCATTGTCCAGAAAAAGCCAAACAAAGCCAAACAAAGCCAAACAGGAGACTGGGTAGAATTTGTACTCAACCCTAGGACATGTTTTTAAAGTTCCTTTAATCAGCCTTTTCCTTTTTGTATTTTGTTCCCTTCTTATTTAGAGAGAGGGAAAAAAAGTTTGCTAGCCTGGTGTTTTGCCTATACAAATCCCAATTAAATCAAGATTTTACCATATTTGAAATTTTTTTCACTCTGTTGTTATGAAAGATCTAACTGAGTCCTTGACCATCACTAGTTGGAAGCCATACTTCTTCATCCAGCCTCAGACTTGGAGGAGTCCCTCCCTTAACCACCCACCAGAGAAGAGATCGGTAGAATTTGCTCATTTCTTCCTACATTGTCACTGTCTAGTCCAGTGTTTCTCACCCTTTGCACTAATGATATTTGTGGTCAGATAATTTGTTGTAGGAGGCTGTTCTGTGTGTTGCAGAATTAGCAACATTTCTGCCCTCTACCCACTAGATGCCAGCAGTGCCAAATGAGTTTCCATACATTATCAAATGTCCCCTGAGGGGAAAAACTGCCCCTAGTTGAGCATCACTGATCTAGACACAGGCACAATTATTCCCCCCTCCTTCTTGTCAAGATTATGAATTTTTTTTTTTACTTTGGCAAGTAATTTCATAACATATTTCCTGTGCCATTTCACGGGAGAACAAAAATAATTCTCTGATGAAAGTAACATTTTGGGCTGGGGATTTAGCTCAGTGGTTTCGCTGCCTACTGCACAAGTGCAAGGACCTGAGTTCGATCCCCAGTAACAAAAAAAAAAAGAAAGTAACATTTTGACTAAGGCCTTGTTAAAACACAACCGCAGGTTCCACATTGTTTGGGAAAGGCAATAGATTTGTTCTCCGCGCCAATGCTGATCTTGATTTTAAATACTGAATTTTCATACTCTTCCAGATTTCCCTTGAGGTCATTGTCATTATGAGCATCAAGTCACTGTCCCAGCCACAGCCTCTTGTGTTGCACTGTAACCCTCAATTTCATTTTTGCGTCTGCCTCAGAAATATTTTCGCTACTGTTGCTGTTTCCTAATGCATAATAGATTTTTCACTCATTATTTTTTAAGCCCATTATTCCCTGTCTCCAGTGAGTTAAGTATAAATTTTATATTCTTGGAGAATATTTGGTATATTTACAAAATCTGTAAAATTGGTTAAATTGAAGTGGTAAGTTATAGATCCCAGATTTTAAGCCTACAGTAATTTTCCTGCACAGCAAGAAGTAATAGTTGAATTGTTTTAGATAAGCAGACTTTATGATTAGAAGAATGACCTATATAGGGTGATTATAAGATTTTAAATTATTTAATTATGTTATAGTTTGGATTTGGAATGTTTCCCAAAGGCAGCCTATGGCACTATTGGTTGGAGGTGGAGATTTGGAGAGGTTGGGCCTACTTGGAGGACATTAGGTCCTACTGGGAGGAAGTGTGCCCTTGAAGAAGGCTGCAAGACTGCAGATTCCTTCTTTCCCTTTCCCTTCCAGGCTGCAATGAAATAGAATGGATGTTCTTCTCCACAGACTTCTTGCCGTGATATACTGCTTTGTACAAGCCCAAAACAACCAGATCGACCTACCATGGACTGAAACCTTAAAAACCGTAAGCCAGAATACAACCTTTCCCTTTCTAAGCTGATTCTATCAAGTATTTGTTAGTAAAGCTGACTTACATAAATTCATAGTTTATATGTTATTTATTTTGTACCATGTGTATGCACATTCATAATTTTCCAGGCCCATCAGATTGTGTGTGTGTTATTTTTATTTATATTGCAAAAAATAGAACACAAAACTACAGATGCTCTCTGCCTATATAAAAAATTTCCACCTGGGGATATAGCTCATTAAAATGTTTGCCTAGCATGTCCAAGACCCTGGGTCTGATCCCCAATACACACACACACATTCTCTCTCTCTTTCTCTCTCTCTCTCTCTCTCTCTCCCTTCCATGTACATAGACAAAGCCTAGAATTTAAAAATTAATATAGGATTAAAAATTATCAAGGTGTGTTACATATACTTATTCCCCAAAACAAACATCATTATTCTTTCTTTTTTTTTTTTTGGTACAGGGGATCAAATTCGGGTCCTTGAGCTTGTGCAGCAGGTGGCAAAATCACTGAGCTAAATCCCCGGCCAAAACATCATTATTCTTTACTGCAAATATATACAATAAAAGATTTTTTTAAGTACAGATATTGATTATAACAGATCCTTTTCCCTATTCAAAATTTTCTGTAGATCGTTGTTTATATAAATTTAAATAGTACATATTTTTTTCTGATCTGAAAAGTAACATGGTCACAGGCATTCGCTGTAATACAAAAAAGTGAAGGGTGGGGATTTAGCTCAGTGGCACCACTCCTGCTTCGCGTGTACAAGGTCCTGAGTTCGATCCCCCCGGTACCAGAAAAAAAACAAAACAAACAAAATGTGAAATAATTTTTTAAAAGTCACCTGTGATGGCCGGGGATTTAACTCAGTGGTTCCGCTGCCTGCCTTGCAAGCACAAGGTCCTGAGTTTGGTCCCCGATACCAAAAAAAAAAAAAAAAAAAGTCACCTGTGACATCACCACCCAGAGATAATCACTATTAACAGTTTAGAAATGCTTTCCTCCAGTCTTTTTTCCTTTTACAAAACTTAGTACATTCTAAATAACCGGTTTTTTATCCTGTGGGGATTTTTAAAAATCATAGTAAATATGAATATAAATATATTGTCATTTATTGATATCTGAGAGGGATTGGTTCCAAGATCTACCCAGGATACCAAAATATGCAGATACCAAAGTCTCTTGTATAAAATGTCATGGTACTTACATATAACCTATGCATATTTTCCCATATACTTGAAATCATGTGCAGATGATTTATAATACTTAATGCAATGTAAATGCATGTGAATAGTGTTATACTGTAGTATTTAGGGAATAATGATAAGAAAAAAGTCCATATATATACAGTGAGGATGTGGCTCTCACAGGCCTGAATACATCTCTGCTGTGAGATTGGCCAAATCTTTGGATGTGGAAGCTGTGGAGGAGGGGAGCCAACTGTAACTCATGTATTTAAACTGCCCCGCACTCCAGGACTTTTGGGGATTTTCAGTTCTTCCTTGTTGCATATTCAATGCTCTATACATAAATCTTTGCCTACATATCTGAGCAGCACTTGCAGCTAAAACTTGAGACAGCAAATAGAAGGTCAAAGGGTATGAATTCCCAAGTCTCAATACACATCTCCAAATTACCTCCTGAAGGTTGTTCCTATTTTCAGTCATTCTTTATTGGCAGTTCTCTTGAAGGGCTTCTATCTTGTTCTGTCAGCCTTCAAGCCTGTGGGGACATTTCCCATGGGACATTCTTCAGATATGTCAGTGTAATAAGATCCATCACAAAATATCTGTCAACAGCCTCCCTGGACCCATCTCAGACCATCTGTCCGTGGCAACTCTAATATATTTTGGAAAGATGCTCATGCAGTTGCCAAAAAACAAGTTTGCAATTGAATCAGGTTTTCTAATCACTTAGATTGTGGAATTGAACTGTGTTAATGACATGTGACAATCTTAGTACAATATCTAGAGATTCCATGTAGAGATTCCAATTGGAAATTGAAGAGCAGGCTGCACAAGAGGTGGAAGGTAGATTGCCTTTCATGAGACTTCTGTAGAGCTTACACCATCCCAGCCATGGCACAAAGTTGGCAACAAGAATTAACTGTGAGCCTTAGTTCCAGGCAAAATTGGAGAGAGAAAAAACACTACTTAGGTGCAGAGCTGGATTACTTAGAAAGGTAGAATGATAGTGTGACCATCACACTGACGACTGGTGCCTTGCAGTGGGTCTGAATTCCATGCCACCAAAAGATCTTTGACCAAGAACAAGTAAGCATAGTAATTCATGTACTTCCAGGAAATGGAAGGGACCAATCTTCTTTTATTATATGAAAATGTCTTGGAAATTTAAAAGCAATATACCTAGGAGTTTATTATGGATTTCATTATATTTTTATGGGTTCTGAACTATTAGATCCAGAATTGAAAATACCTGGGATCTACTCCATTTTATTTTGCATGCACAAAATTGTAAGTGACAGTAACTGCAAGGTTTTATTCCCTTTCTAGACCCTCCCTGGCTACTTGACTCCAATAAAGAATCAAGGAGCCTAAATTGGCCTTTAACTCTCAAAAGGCTGGTGTATATCCCAATTGTTCAAATGGCTGGAGTTGTCTCTGCCCTCAAATGGATAAAATGGTCATAGGTTCTCTTTTTTCTTTCCCATTGAGTAATTGAGTCACTTTCTGAAGTGTCACAGACAGCATGATGTCCTCAGGTATCCATAGTCTTCCTTAGCTCGCTGAACCACATGATTTTCTTGGAATCTTGCTAAATGACAAATAATCAAAGCTAGGGCAGACAGAGGACACATAACAGACAGAAGCCCAGGGCCCCCCACCTTCTAGTGGGGCTGACTAGAAGGGCAGGCCTGATCCAAGCTGTTTCTTGCTATGAATAGCTTTAACAAGAATGGATTGCTTTTAACTCAAAGCACCTCAAGTGTATCTCCTGTGCGTGGCCTTTTGGGTGTGATAATATTGACCTGAATTCTTTGTCATTACACTGCTGCTCAGTCACCCAAACGGCATCCTCCTGGAGTGGAGACCAGAGACTGTTATTTCACCTGCATGTGTTCCATGGCCTTATTTCCAAGCTGAGTGTACAAAGAGAAAAGGGGAAAAGTAGAAGAAACACTAACATTCTCAAATCATTTTTACCTATTCTGTTATATGTACTTCTTCCTGCAAGCCAGAAATTTTTCTCTCTTCCAAGAAGAGAAAACTGAGGCCCATAGAGGAAATGACAAAGTCAAGATGTGAATTTCAATTCAGGTTTCTGTTCTCTCCATCATAGCATAGCAGGAATGTCAGGCAAATTCTTTCTGAATTGATTTTCTGAGGTGACTTTGTGTCTAGAGATGCACAATCTCCCATCTCTGTCTCCAAATTGCTGTTGATCTGTTGGCGAAAAGGAAATGGGAAGGAGGTGAATCAGACAGAGACCTAAATACAGTGTGATGCAAGAGATTTTATCACTTAGTGGAAATTTTACCATTGTTAGGTATATTGCTTATAAATTTGTGCAATTATTGTGTGTCAATTCTATCTGAACGAACTCAGCCAACCCTATATCAATATAAATAATTTATGTCTTCTTAAAGGTTTTGTTTAATCCTAAATTCCTAGAGGTAGGAGCCCTCCCCTGTCAGATCAGCAGTGGCATTAGATTCTCATAGGACCAGGACCCCTGCTGTGACCTGAACATGTGAGGAATCTAGGTTGTGCTTTTTATGAAAATCTATACTTTGGGGTCATTATGTACTGATAAATAAACTTTTATTGAGTTAGGCTGCTGGAATTTGGAGATGACTTGCTATTGTGGCTACCATTATCCTAACTAAATGTTCATGTGTTTAAGTCTTTGTGTGCACCCGATGACACTATTTGGAGGTGGTAGAGCCTTCAGGAGGCAGGACACAGTAGAAGGAAGTTAAGTCATTGAGGGTGTGCTCTGGAAGGGGATGTTGGGTCCAGGATTGCTTCTCCCTCTCTCTGCTTCCCTGGTGGAGGTGAATAGCTTCCTCCACCATGCACTCTTCACCATGATGTTCTGCCTCACTTAGGCCCAAAGAAAACAGGGCCAAGTGACCATGGACTGAAACCTCTGAAACTGTGAGTCAAAATAAATCTTTTCTCCTTTTTTTTTTTCAATATGGTGGACTGAAACTAGTGCCTTCACACTGATCTACATCTCCAGTCTTTTTATTTTTTTATTTTTACTTTGAGACAGAGTCTCACTAAGTTGCCCAACCTGAGCTGGAACTTGCCATCCTCTTGCTTCAGCCTCCCAGTATGCTAGGGCCAAGCTTCTCTTCTCCTTTTGAGTTGTGTCAAGAATTTTGTCACAACAATGGAAAGCTGACTGTCACATTTCTCCTTTAACCTGCTGCCTTGTTCTGCTCTGAGAGTCTTGATCTAATTGGTTTGATTCCAAGACATGCATGGGTTCACGGTTTCTGTAGGTGGAAGTTTCAACAGATAGAAGATAAATTGCACATCTAAAGTAGGTCTTCTCTTTTTCTCTCATCTTCTTTGATGGCCAGAATGGCAGGCAGCCCTAGATCCCTCATTTCCCTTCTCCCTACCCTTGACTTTCTCTCTCCCTGGACACATATTCAGTTTTCCACCATGAAGCTGGCTCAGGGTTCTTAACACCGCTGGAATGGATTTGGGCAGCCATCACTTCGCAAATATTCTAGTCAGAGGTGATAAATGTCCCCTTTTCCCTGATAGAAGTTAAAAATCACAAATTAAAACCAACTCAAACCAAATAACAATAAAAGAATCTGATCCAATGCATATCAATCCGTGCTAAAGGACATGAAGCTAGAAAGCCAAACTGATGAGACCTGAGAGTAGGATTTGAGCAGTGAGAGGAAAGAATCACAAGGTCCACTCACACTTGAACTTGCACTATGGTTTTGCACCAACACTCTCTTTTGCTCCTATGAGGTGGTTGCTAAAAGATGGGCTTAGTGGGC